GTCATTATAAGCAAAAGAAGAATCCGTTGAATAAAATAGATGTCACATACACTTTAAATAACAAATAAGCATGTTACTAATTAAACCGGGAGAGTAATAACATTGACATGTGCTTGCTTGAAAAGTTAAATCAGTATTAAAATATTAAACAGAACAAATCTGCTGCTAAACACTGAAAACATAAGATAAGTGTTCCAGTGTGTTTTACCAATGCTGCCCAGCTCCATGGAAGATCTGGCATCCACAAGGGCTCGTTCGATGCTGGGGTCTAAGTTAACATAGTTGCCTCCTCCAGCACAAGGTTCAGAGGGAAGGTGGGGTCCCTGCTCTGGTCGACGGAAACTCAAGGGTTTCTTTCTAGGTGGTTTCTTGGGCTGGTCCTGGCAATGTCATTCACGTGTACAGTTTATAAAGGCATTCAATTGTAACTCTGCATAGTAACATGGTAAGGAAAACATTTAAGTGTAACATGGAAAGGGGGGGGGGGGGGCACTGAATGTGTTCATGTGTACAGTTTAGAGAGGCATTCAATTGTAACACAATATAGTAACATGGTAAAAAAAATATTTAAGCGTAACATTGAGGGGGGGGGGGGGGGGGGCGGCAACTGGGGATATGGTATGTATTCTTCTGCTCTCCTCCACCATTTTATCAAGAAAAGCTTGTAGACTACTTTCACTGTCTCTTTCATCATCTAGGAGGTCCTTAGCAGAATCTTGCTCTCATCCTGGTCTGCCTGATGAGGAACATGAAACTAGGTGTCCTGCCAGCTCTCCCGCCTCATGCACTTTCATACCGAAGGTGTCACTTATATTCTGCGCACATCTTCGCGCTTTTAGGCCCCTGCCCCTCTTTCCTTCTTGTTCCTGGTACCAGGTCTTCTGCTATTATTCTATCCAATCTGCCATGGTGCTTGGTATGGCTGAAAAATTTCAGTTTCCGAGATAAGATGTTGTTTAACAGCCACATTCCTTGATATTTAGATCTTTCAGGATGTCATTGTCTCTCTTCTTCTTTGTCCCTGGTATTCTGCGAATCTTTCTATAGCATTTCAGCCCAAAAGCCCCTATTCTCTTCCTTCAGGACCTTCCACTATCAGTTTCCTGGGATAATAATGTGGTAGTTTTCCCTGTTCCTTTGTAACTCCTGATAACACAAACAGAGAAATGCATCTTACAAAAAAGGTTGACACTGAAGTTACACATAAGGTCTCATTAAATGCTCACAAATCTAATTTATCATTTCTGTAATACATAAAGGTTAGACTTCTAATTAACAAGCTCTTAAATGCTAATGCAAATATAAGGTTGATTCCAAGTTTTTTTTTAAATGGTCTTAGTATCTGAGTATAAACAAACTGCAATTACAAAAAGGTCTTACAAGAAATTAACTCTCTGTGGACTAATCGCCATTAAAGTGGTGTTTGAATCCGTCCAGCTAGGACTAATCGCCATTAAAGTGGTGTTTGAATCCGTACAGCGAGGACTAATCACCATTAAAGTGGTGTTTGAATCCGTCCAGCTAGGACTAATCACCATTAAAGTGGTGTTTGAATCTGTCCAGCTAGGACTAATCACCATTTAAGTGGTGTTTGAATCCGTCCAGCTAGGACTAATCACCATTTAAGTGGTGTTTGAATCCGTCCAGCTAGGACTAATCGCCATTAAAGTGGCATCTGACAGACACATTCTAATACTGTTTTGTTTGCTGAGAAAACAAATTTGTATGAACATGTTTTGGAAAAACAGAATTAGCTAAATGGAGTTCTTTTGTCATGGAAGTTCAGCATGATGTTTGGAAAACTTTCTGATTTGTTTTAAATCATTTAGATGTGATACAATTTTTGTGTGATTTTTCCAAATTATAATAGAAAAGGTCTAGAAATATACATTCTACTCTGTCGATGAATTTCAGCCAGATGGTGACAATAGTCTTGATATTATCACTGATTACTAAACCGATTGCCGATAATAACGTTAAGGTGAAGATTGAACAAAATATTTCAATCGGATCATCTCTGTTTCGATCAGCTGTTTTCCCGATTTTGATGGTTGTGAAATCTGACATACAATACAAAAATTGTCATAACACCCAAAGTATTCAAATTAATTGTTTCAAATAAGGTCTAGCTGATACACAACTGAACAGAGAAGGCAGGATTATTTCCTTGAAATGAATAGCAGTGTTGTTGAACAAGTTGAAAAGTAAGGTAAGCACAAAATGTTTTGTGTAAATAATTTTCTTATGTGTCTAACATCCTTGAATATTGTGTGATTTTAATAATAGTTTGTTGTAATACTGACAATTAAATAGTTCAGATTTATTCCGCACTCATTTCTCTTTAATTTGATATATTATATGTGCCTATATTGGCAATAGTTTTTCTTCAGAAAGGTTTTAAGTTTTATCATACCCTCAGTGCGGTGATGTTGATAACTTTTAACAAATAACCAATTTATGATAAGTCAATAACCTTTTCACACCTCTGATGCATCAGACACACAGTACTAGATCCATATTGTTTAGACCACTCATCACTCAGCGGGTTATGGTTTGACACAGTCCGCCTTTACTTCCAAAAACATTACCTATTAGACATTTTAGACTGGCTCGTCCTAGAAGCCAAGGTCAATTCTAGAAAGAGAAAAAAAAATGAAACCTAAATGTTTGAACCATAGACCTTCAGGCTGGCAGACGAGTATCATGCTGTGACACCACTGTGACTGTAATGTATGGTATGCTGTAAGAAAGGTAGAGACAGGCATGCTTCATGCAGAGTGGCAAGTATCGCTTCAGAGGTCTCAGATAGTTATCGTCCTTTGGATATTTTCTCAAGAGTATGCTGGTGTGTTAGGAAACAAGCTGGCAGATAGATTCGCCGGTTCTGCACCACCTGGTGGTGAACTGATGTATGACAAGCTAGTTGTGAGGGCCTTTTTGGCGTGAGTGGACAAGTAGATCATTACGGTCTGAGGAGAATGGCACTGCAAGGAGTTACCAGGGGATCTGGCTGATGCCAAACACTTTAGGGAAAGGCGAGATGGATGTACAATCAGACAGTTGCTGGTACCATGGGAAATGGAACTTTTCATTTGCTGCTGAAGCTGGGGATGGAGCGAGTGTCCCGAGTGCTATGATGTTGATTCTTAATTCAACATTCAACACTGGTATATTGTAAGAGCATAAGTTAAAGAACAGGTGGCTTACCGTGGGACTTCTGGCTGGAGGACTAACATCCCTTGAGCCAGGACTGATATCGCATGGACCTGGACTGAGTTTGTTTTTGTCCTCATCACTGGAGAGTTCTTTCTCACTTCCTCTCTCCTGAGGTGCCGGCACTTTCAGGGGAATTAACCCTGAAAATTGGTGTCACCATTTTTGGTACAATTGTACACATTTTGGCTGGCATACTACAAAGTCAACATGCATGCCTCACACATTTCTCAAACAATACCTTGAAACTCCTACAACTATCATACATCACTCAAAAAGTAAATTGATACTCCTACAACTATCACACATCACTTAAACAGTACACTGTTACTCCTACAACTATCACAAATCACTCAAACAGGACAATGATACTCCTACAACCACCACACATCACTCAAACAGTACACCGATACTCCTACAACCACCACACATCACTCAAACAGTGCAATGATACTCCTACAACCACCACACATCACTCAAACAGTACACCGATACTCCTACAACCACCACACATCACTCAAACAGTACACTGATCATCACACATCACTCAAACAGTTCAATGATATTCCTATAACTATCACACATCACTCAAACCGTTCAATGATACCTACAACTATCACACATCACTCAAACAGTACAATGATACTCCTACAACCATCACACATCACTCAAACAGTTCAATGATACTCCTACAACCATCATCCAACACTCAAACAGTACACCGATACTCCTAAAACCATCACACATCACTCAAACAGTACAATGATATCCCTACAACTATCACACATCACTCAAACAGTACAATGATACTCCTACAACTATCACACATCACTCAGATAGTACATCTATACCCCTACGACTACCATACATTGAACAGTACATGAATACTAAGATCATATTTCAATCAATATACTATTTTCCAGACATCATTGCACAAAGACAAAATTAATTGAATTATTGTTCATCCTTCTGAATTTAGTATCACTTTTCTTCCTAGTCTGACTACAACTTTGATCAAATGTAGACAATGTGGCAACTCGGAGTTAGTTAATTTTCCTTTAGAGAAGTCTATAATAAGCTAAAATAGCAGTAAGCAAGTTAACAAGCAAGCTATCTACTCAAGCTGAAAGAACAGGCTGAGAAACTTAATGGTTAATATCTGAAGGATGAGGCATGACATAAAAAAAAGCAAATTCTAAACAATGCCTTCCAAAAAAACAAATTATTGCTGTGCGGACTGGATTATTCTTCAACTTTATGTTCAACAGCTGTAAACTCTAGTGAAAAGTTCTGGTTGTTCATCCACTTCTGGACTCCAGTCTTATTCCAGAACTTGAGTTTTGCATGCACATTCATTTCACAAAACTGCATTTTTGTATGCAGGCTGTTGGTTTCTTGACTCTCAGGCAGATGCACTCAGACTTAAAAAGAAATCCCTAATTAGTCGACTCTTAAGACACGCTTGTAAGAGAGGGAGTGGGTCTATTCTTTTTTTTTTTAAGACAATGAGGTCCTGGAGCCGACACAGGGACTGATTTGATTCAAGACCCACCTTAATCACACTGATACATAAAAGCTCCAACCAGACAACACTAGCAGCATCTCAGTTCAGTGCATGAACGCTGAAGCCCTAGCAATGATCCCAGTTATACAGGACATTAAAGAAATGATATACTTGTGGCGATAACCACCCATTATATCTCTCTTTTTTCTTTTTTTAATATTTCTTGGCAAGATATTAAGAAAGATGGCTGATTACAATGTTGACAACAAGCCAAGTAAGAAAACTAACCTTGTTCGTTGAAGCTGTCGATGGGATCCGCTGCTCTCACAGACTGTCGGGGTGGGATGGGGGGTGGTGCTGACATGGCATCATATCCTGGTGGAAGACTAGGGGGTGGGAAAAAACAATGAAGGTAAGACATAAATGTATGTACTTTCTGAGGCTTTCACCTTCTTCCTTCCTTTGTATTTATCTTTTTTGTTCTCATTTCTAAAAAAAATTTTTTGCCATTATACTTTCTTTCTTTCTTTCTTTCTTTCTTTCTTTCTTTCTTTCTTTCTTTCTTTCTTTCTTTCTTTCTTTCTTTCTTTCTTTCTTTCTTTCTTTCTTTCTTTCTTTCTTTCTTTCTTTCTTTCTTTCTTTCTTTCTTTCTTTCTTTCTTTCTTTCTTTCTTTCTTCCTTTCTTTCTTTCTCACTTTCTTTTTTTCTCTGTCTCTCTTGTTTTTCACTATTTCTTTATTTCTGTTTTCATTTTTTTTTTTCATTCGTTTATTTTTCTTTCATCTCTACTTTTTTCTTTCTTCCCCTCTACCACCAATCTGTCTTTTAATCCATTTCTTTGTTTATTAGGCTAACTCTACCACATATTCAGTGGTGCTGGTTTTTTGTTGGATTTTTTTACTTTAAAATTATTTTGTTTTTAATTGTTGTATTGGAAAAATCAAAACCACAAAAGACAGGCACACTCTCTTCTCTCATACCAAAGTCTGCAGTGCAACATTGACAGACCACACAAACCCTTGTGCAGGGGAATGTGCACTACTGTTCTGCAGCAAACTGGCCCTGCAACCACATGTAATATCTTAACTATAAGCTTTACTTGAAATATAAACCATGATTCCATGCAACAGGGGTACTCAACTGGCGGCCAGCGGGCCAGATCTGCATGAATGATCTTTCTACGCTGTAGCTGAGGCCTATGGTCCGTGACGATACATGTTTTTAAAACTGTGGTCCCTGAATAAACTTGATTGAATATCCCTGCCATACAATATTGATTTTTAAAAGCTTTTCCTATTCTCCTATATTTACAATGAAGTTCCATCGTATATCATCATCATCATGTTGTGCTGTACATCAAATAGGCTAGTTAATTCCTCTATTCCATCCTTCTTCTTTATCTTCATCTGCGTTCATCCACAGCTAGTTGTTCTGCAGAGAGAGACTGAGCCATATGGGATCAAACTGGATGCAATGAAGTCGATCTCCCACCTTTACCTTTACAACATGGTTGTTATATTTGCACCTTTAAGTCGACATGCGCAGGCCTTCGTTGTCCAGGTAAATCTTCCAGGTTGGTTTCATGGCACACTTAAGTCTCATTGGTGTGTCATTATCTTTGTTTCCTGGTACACAGGTGGTGCCCCCCAATAAACCAGTTCAGAACAGCCACACAATGCTGGTCAACACTCAAGAGAAGGCAGGAGCAGAACATGAACATTCCCTGCTATCCAAGGAGGCTTCCATAAATGCAGAGCCAATATATGGTGCTCTGATACTTGGCTGATCAAAAAAAAAAAAACATCACATCCTGCCAATGAATTTTTAACCTAACTTCCACTTAGTGAGGCTTTTCTTCTTCTTCTTCTTTCGTTCGCCTGAAATAAGTTGTCTATATCAGCAGTTTTGTCTCTTGTATACATTTCACTGTCGTTGTTAGTTCATTCAGTGGTCCATAGAGTTTACGTTCCACTGTTCTTTACAGCCAAAAGGTTTGCCTTAATGTGTCAAATTCGGTGCAGTCCTGGAGTACATGCTCTGCTGTCTGGGGCACATTTCCACAGGTGCACAAGGCTGATACACCTATCTTGAATTTTGTGTTCATGTGGTTACATAATCGATTGTGCCCTGTTCTGAGGCGGAGGATAATGATTTGTTCTGGTCTGTCCATAATAAAATAGTCGTCTTGTGCTGGGGCTGGTGGTTTCCTGATTGATTTAATGATTCTTCTCTTTTGGCGGTATGTGACTGGTACATCCGGCTGCACTTTTGTCACACCTTCCCCTGCCAGTTGATCAGCTTTCTCATTTCCAGGCACTCCACAATGAGATGATATACACTGCATTACGACTCTTCGCTGAAGGCTGAGTTGTGTCAGCAGTGAGGTTCTCATTTGTTCCATTTTATTCTGTGCAACTGATTCAATATCATGGATGAATCCAGTCCAGTGGTCTCTCTCATCTATGTTCATAGATGAATCCAGTCCAGTGGTCTCTCTCATCAATATCATGGATGAATCCAGTTCAGTGGTCTCTCTCATCCATGTTCATGGATGAATCAAGTCCAGTGGTCTCTCTCATCAATATCATGGATGAATCCAGTCCAGTGGTCTCTCTCATCAATATCATGGATGAATCCAGTCCAGTGGTCTCTCTCATCCATGTTCATAGATGAATCCAGTCTAGTGGTCCCTCTCATCAATGTTCATGGATGAATCCAGTCCAGTGGTCTCTCTCACCCATGTTCATAGATGAATCCAGTCCAGTGGTCTCTCTCATCAATATCATGGATGAATCCAGTTCAGTGGTCTCTCTCATCAATATCATGGATGAATCCAGTCTAGTGGTCTCTCTCATCAATATCATGGATGAATCCAGTCTAGTGGTCTCTCTCATCAATATCATGGATGAATCCAGTCCAGTGGTCTCTCTCATCAATATCATGGAAGAATCCAGTCCAGTGGTCTCTCTCATCAATATCATGGATGAATCCAGTCCAGTGGTCTCTCTCATCAATATCATGGATGAATCCAGTCCAGTGGTCTCTCTCGTCAATATCATGGATGAATCCAGTCCAGTGGTCTCTCTCATTAATGTTCATGGAAGAATCCAGTCCAGTGGTCTCTCTCATCAATATCATGGAAGAATCCAGTCCAGTGGTCTCTCTCATCAATATCATGGAAGAATCCAGTCCAGTGGTCTCTCTCATCAATATCATGGATGAATCCAGTCCAGTAGTCTCTCTCATCAATGTTCATGGATGAATCCAGTCCAGTGGTCTCTCTCATCAATATCATGGATGAATCCAGTCTAGTGGTCTCTCTCATCAATATCATGGATGAATCCAGTCTAGTGGTCTCTCTCATCAATATTATGGAAGAATCCAGTCCAGTGGTCTCTCTCATCAATATCATGAAAAGAATCCAGTCCAGTGGTCTCTTTCATCAATTTCATGGATGAATCCAGTCCAGTGGTCTCTCTCATCCATGTTCATGGATGAATCCAGTCTAGTGGTCTCTCTCATCAATATCATGGATGAATCCAGTCTAGTGGTATCTCTCATCAATATCATGGATGAATCCAGTCTAGTGGTCTCTCTCATCAATATCATGGATGAATCCAGTCTAGTGGTCTCTCTCATCAATATCATGGATGAATCCAGTCCAGTGGTCTCTCTCATCAATATCATGGAAGAATCCAGTCCAGTGGTCTCTCTCATCAATATCATGGATGAATCCAGTCCAGTGGTCTCTCTCATCAATATCATGGATGAATCCAGTCCAGTGGTCTCTCTCGTCAATATCATGGATGAATCCAGTCCAGTGGTCTCTCTCATTAATGTCATGGAAGAATCCAGTCCAGTGGTCTCTCTCATCAATATCATGGAAGAATCCAGTCCAGTGGTCTCTCTCATCAATATCATGGAAGAATCCAGTCCAGTGGTCTCTCTCATCAATATCATGGATGAATCCAGTCCAGTAGTCTCTCTCATCAATGTTCATGGATGAATCCAGTCCAGTGGTCTCTCTCATCAATATCATGGATGAATCCAGTCTAGTGGTCTCTCTCATCAATATCATGGATGAATCCAGTCTAGTGGTCTCTCTCATCAATATTATGGAAGAATCCAGTCCAGTGGTCTCTCTCATCAATATCATGAAAAGAATCCAGTCCAGTGGTCTCTTTCATCAATTTCATGGATGAATCCAGTCCAGTGGTCTCTCTCATCCATGTTCATGGATGAATCCAGTCTAGTGGTCTCTCTCATCAATATCATGGATGAATCCAGTCTAGTGGTATCTCTCATCAATATCATGGATGAATCCAGTCCAGTGGTCTCTCTCATCAATATCATGGAAGAATCCAGTCTAGTGGTCTCTCTCATCAATATCATGGATGAATCCAGTCTAGTGGTCTCTCTCATCAATATTATGGAAGAATCCAGTCCAGTGGTCTCTCTCATCAATGTTCATGGAAGAATCCAGTCCAGTGGTCTCTCTCTTGTTTATCCTAGCGTTTCTTTTGGATTTCCTGAATCCATTTATTTTCCACTGAAGTGCCTATTTGGTGATTGTCCCTCTTTGCTTCTCCTCAGAATTTGCCAAATACACCACCATTATCTGCTATCTTAAACTGCTGTCACCAGTGGTTGTCCACTCTCTGCTCTTATTTCTAAGCTTTTCATTACCATATGACACAGTGATAACTAAGTACCACTTTATATGTCACTGTGGACTTCTGAGCATATACCGCTGTTCCTTTATTCCATGGCATATGGGCAGATGATTTAGTTAGCATGACAGGGGGGTCATTCACTTTTGTGATACAGCTGTGCTTAAAAAAAGGCCCATCTTGGCTAAAATGAGATATGTAAAAGACTAGTCTCCTCATCTAGTCTCAAAGTGTCCTCTCCATGGGGACTGTGATGCAGAGATGTCCTTCCCCGCTGAAAACCTTAATTTGTGGAAACGTACATCAGGCTATGTGTCTGTGGCTTAGGCATTATGTATGGGCTTTGTAATGCCGGGGTGCCGGGTTTGACCCCAGGTGCGGGCCTTGCGCCTTGCGTTGGTTTTGACAGTGGTATCAAGAAGCCGACCGTACAGAAAGCAATGGCAAACTACTGGACGTAAAATTGAGGTTTCTCACTCTCTGTAGCTTCCACCCAGCAGCCATGTTTCCTTCAAGGTTTTGAGGTTTCTCAAAATATCTGTAGCTTCCACCCTAGTAGCCATGTTTCCTTCAAGGTTTAAGGTTTCTCAACATATCTGTAGCTTCCACCCTAGTAGCCATGTTTCCTTCAAGGTTTAAGGTTTCTCAACAAGTCTGTAGCTTCCACCCTAGTAGCCATGTTTCCTTCAAGGTTTAAGGTTTCTCAACATATCTGTAGCTTCCACCCTAGTAGCCATGTTTCCTTCAAGGTTTAAGGTTTCTCAACAAGTCTGTAGCTTCCACCCTAGTAGCTATGTTTCCTTCAAGGTTTGAGGTTTCTCATCTGTAGCTTCCACCCCAATAGCCATAGGGACATGCAGAGATCGGTAACAGGCAGCATGGTTCACAGCAAGGTCTGAACCAGAACAGAAAACAGAAATGTTCTTCTGCTGGTTCAACAAGGGACAGACCAGACAAGACATGCCTGCAAGCAACATGCAATAAAGTGAGCCTAATCGCCGGGTAAATGTCACTAATATTACAGAACAAATATTTGCCACTAAAATCAGAAAGAGCAGTGAGATTTATACTGGACAGAATTATCACTCCGACAGTGATAGATTTATACTGGACAGAAATATCACTCCGACAGTGATAGATTTATACTGGACAGAAATATCACTCCGACAGCGATAGATTCATACTGGACAGAATTATCACTCAGACAGTGATAGATTTATACTGGACAGAAATATCACTCCGACAGTGATAGATTTATACTGGACAGAAATATCACTCAGACAGTGATAGATTCATACTGGACAAAATTATCACTCAGACAGTGATAGATTTATACTGGACATAAATATCACTCCGACAGTGATAGATTTGTACTAGACAGAAATATCACTCAGACAGTGATAGATTTGTACTGTACTATCACTCAGACATAGAGAAGACAACTTTGCATCATGGCAAGACTGGAGTAAATGGCAAAGCTAAGGCAATGAACATTGCTGCTATGGACTCATACAGTTGTTTCAAACTCTATGCAGGCTTAGGGTGAGAGGTGGAAAAAAAAAAGAGAAAGAGTAGGTAGAGAAGGAAGATGGAGCAAGAGAGGAAACAAAAGTCTGCATACAAGTAAGCAAGCCAGATCTGTAAAACAGATGAGCATGCAAAATGTAGAGCAGCAGATTCAAGACTTTCAGAAGCTTCTAATCGACCTCTAATATCCAAATATGACAAAATTTATCTTTTCAAAAAAATTAATTAGAAATTTGGATATTTCTGTTTTCCATGCAGCATAAATAATCTTTCACAGGCAGAGAGCAGACATGAGACAGCAGAGATTACATCGTGTTTACAGTATGTGTGCTTACAGACAGGTGACTATTTGTCTTCGTCTGAAATGGAAACAGGCAGGGTACAGTTAACTCAAATAAAAATTTCAATGAATCATCAACTGCTATCAATATCGTCCTCATCACTGACACTGACATCATCATTACCGTCACTATGATCATCACCAGTTATCATCACTATCTTCACCATCATTGTCATTAACAGCTTATTTCCACTCTAGAGCTAGGATCTAATTAAGATGATGCATAAAAGCCACTTAGCCTTGCTGTACAAGCCAAGTCATTTGCATGTGATGGACAACCAAATGTTCTGGCTACAGTATATCTAACCAATCACATCAACATTGACGGACACTCTGCAACTTATAGGTTCTGTGTGGATTACTGGGCCCATAGGTTCTGTGTAGATTACTGGGCCCATAGGTTCTGTGTAGATTACTGGGCCCATAGGTTCTGTGTGGATTACTGGGCCCATAGGTTCTGTGTGGATTACTGGGCCCATAGGTTCTGTGTGGATTACTGGGCCCATAGGTTCTGTGTGGATTACTGGGCCCATAGGTTCTGTGTAGATTCCAGGGCTCCATTTGATTTGAAGGGTGGGGGTAGAGTCACTGCCTTCCTAATAAGCAAGTTGAAAATAGCGATCAATTAATGATTTCTAACATGTATGCTTGAGGAACCAACAGTCTGCATATAAGTAAGCCAGATCTGTAAACAGATTTGCACACAAAATTCTAGTTCTGGAAGAAGAATAAAGATCAGAAGTGGACAAACAACCTCAACTTTAAGCACAGTTTCCAGCCAGTGAACATGGAAGCATTTTTCTCCTTTAGCATTTTCATATCTGAATCTCTAGAAAGCAATGAAAAGTTTCAGAAGCTAGCAGGGTCTCCTGACTCAAAAAATAGAAAATCTGAGCTGCACCTGCACATGGCAGAAAATAAGAAACATACCACGATGTAGCAAACATAGCTCTGGGAATCATTTTCATCGGAAAATGTGCGCAACTTCACTCCTGAACAGAATTCAGCACTCATTTTTCTCAAACAACCAACAATGGCTGTCAAACTGGAGGTACAAGTCGTCCACATTGATGTGAAAAGCAAGGAGATGCCTATTTCCCCAAGTGCAAGTTCATGACCTTGTTAGGAAATCACAATTTTCTCCTGAAAGCAAGTTAAAGATCATGTCAAAAGAACATGACCAGTTAACTTCAATACAAGCCTTTTGACTCACTGACCTAATCAATGAATCGATGAGGATCCAGCTAATTTACCTAACTTTTCAACATTCTGCTAACTTGTAGCCAGGTAAGCCACTGCTGTGTGTGTCAAACTGTCTTCCAGCCAACTTCCAAAAGTGAGAACATTCTAAGGCAGAAAACTATTACTTCAATCTTCCTTGGAAAATTCACAACAGACTTCAAATGTTCACAAAGGCAATGAAAACTCATAAATTGAGATAACATCACCTGAGCCAAATAAACACATATGGGCATGAACACAGCACAGCTGAAGTTACAAAACATAAAGATTTCTATATAATGCAAAACTCACCTTTTATGGAGGTAGGTACTTCGTTCAGCAGGTGAAGGGGCAACAACACAGGGTAGGGCTTTTGCAAGTGGAGGAGTACCTTGGGAGTAGTCTTTGCTTGGCAAATCCAGGCTACTATTGGCCACGATTCCACGTTCCCCGTCTGAGTCTGGTGTTCGTTGATGGTAGATATAAGCTACAAATTTAAATATTTCGAGATTATCAACACATGAAGACACTCATGAAAAGATCTCAAGTGAAAGCAAGAGGCGGCCCTAGGAGAAAATGAACTGATAACATTAAAGGGCTTCTACATCGACAGGCAATGACAATAGCCAATGCTGCCCATCAAGCAATAGATATAAAACTATTGCTTTCCACAACGCTAAATGACAAAAATGAAAACTGATGATGATGATGATGAAGACATTCATTGTTAGAGAGTTTATTTGAACTAAAATGTGTACACAGGCAGTTGATACTTTTGGCTATAATAACACAGGCAGGTTCTGTGACAACACTATGGACATAAGAATTCTAGTTTCTATATGTAAATATTTGGTTACGAGCTCAGCATCCAAGAAGAAGGCTGGTAACAAAAAAAAAACTGTGGCACACAATGGTTCTGAAACCTCATGCTTTAATTAGGGAACACTTGTCCAGATGCCAGTGGCTCATGCTTTAATTAGGGAACACTTGTCCAGATGCCAGTGGCTCATGCTTTAATTAGGGAACACTTGTCCAGATGCCAGTGGCTCACGCTTTAATTAGGGAACACTTGTCCAGATGCCAGTGGCTCATGCTTTAATTAGGGACAACTTGTCCAGATGCCAGTGGCTCATGCTTTAATTAGGGACAACTTGTCCAGATGCCAGTGGCTCATGCTTTAATTAGGGAACACTTGTCCAGATGCCAGTGGCTCATGCTTTAATTAGGGAACACTTGTCCAGATGCCAGTGGCTCACGCTTTAATTAGGGAACACTTGTCCAGATGCCAGTGGCTCATGCTTTAATTAGGGACAACTTGTCCAGATGCCAGTGGCTCATGCTTTAATTAGGGACAACTTGTCCAGATGCCAGTGGCTCATGCTTTAATTAGGGAACACTTGTCCAGATGCCAGTGGCTCACGCTTTAATTAGGGAACACTTGTCCAGATGCCAGTGGCTCATGCTTTAATTAGGGAACACTTGTCCAGATGCCAGTGGCTCATGCTTTAATTAGGGAACTCTTGTCCAGATGCCAGTGGCTCATGCTTTAATTAGGGAACACTTGTCCAGATGCCAGTGGCTCACGCTTTAATTAGGGAACACTTGTCCAGATGCCAGTGGCTCATGCTTTAATTAGGGAACACTTGTCCAGATGCCAGTGGCTCATGCTTTAATTAGGGAACACTTGTCCAGATGCCAGTGGCTCACGCTTTAATTAGGGAACACTTGTCCAGATGCCAGTGGCTCATGCTTTAATTAGGGAACACTTGTCCAGATGCCAGTGGCTCACGCTTTAATTAGGGAACACTTGTCCAGATGTCAGTGGCTCATGCTTTAATTAGGGAACACTTGTCCAGATGCCAGTGGCTCATGCTTTAATTAGGGAACACTTGTCCAGATGCCAGTGGCTCTTGCTTTAATTAGGGAACACTTGTCCAGATGCCAGTGGCTCTTGCTTTAATTAGGGAACACTTGTCCAGATGCCAGTGGCTCTTGCTTTAATTAGGGAACACTTGTCCAGATGCCAGTGGCTCATGCTTTAATTAGGGAACACTTGTCCAGATGCCAGTGGCTCATGCTTTAATTAGGGAACATTTGTCCAGATGCCAGTGGCTCATGCTTTAATTAGGGAACACTTGTCCAGATGCCAGTGGCTCTTGCTTTAATTAGGGAACATTTGTCCAGATGCCAGTGGCTCATGCTTTAATTAGGGAACACTTGTCCAGATGCCAGTGGCTCATGCTTTAATTAGGGAACACTTGTCCAGATGCCAGTGGCTCTTGCTTTAATTAGGGAACACTTGTCCAGATGCCAGTGGCTCATGCTTTAATTAGGGAACATTTGTCCAGATTCCAGTGGCTCTTGCTTTAATTAGGGAACACTTGTCCAGATGCCAGTGGCTCATGCTTTAATTAGGGAACACTTGTCCAGATGCCAGTGGCTCTTGCTTTAATTAGGGAACACTTGTCCAGATGCCAGTGGCTCATGCTTTAATTAGGGAACACTTGTCCAGATGCCAGTGGCTCTTGCTTTAATTAGGGAACATTTGTCCAGATGCCAGTGGCTCATGCTTTAATTAGGGAACACTTGTCCAGATGCCAGTGGCTCATGCTTTAATTAGGGAACACTTGTCCAGATGCCAGTGGCTCTTGCTTTAATTAGGGAACACTTGTCCAGATGCCAGTGGCTCATGCTTTAATTAGGGAACATTTGTCCAGATGCCAGTGGCTCATGCTTTAATTAGGGAACACTTGTCCAGATGCCAGTGGCTCACGCTTTAATTAGGGAACACTTGTCCAGATGCCAGTGGCTCATGCTTTAATTAGGGACAACTTGTCCAGATGCCAGTGACTCTTGCTTTAATTAGGGAACACTTGTCCAGATGCCAGTGGCTCTTGCTTTAATTAGGGAACACTTGTCCAGATGCCAGTGGCTCACGCTTTAATTAGGGAACACTTGTCCAGATGCCAGTGGCTCATGCTTTAATTAGGGAACACTTGTCCAGATGCCAGTGGCTCACGCTTTAATTAGGGAACACTTGTCCAGATGCCAGTGGCTCATGCTTTAATTAGGGAACACTTGTCCAGATGCCAGTGGCTCACGCTTTAATTAGGGAACACTTGTCCAGATGCCAGTGGCTCATGCTTTAATTAGGGAACACTTGTCCAGATGCCAGTGGCTCATGCTTTAATTAGGGAACACTTGTCCAGATGCCAGTGGCTCATGCTTTAATTAGGGAACACTTGTCCAGATGCCAGTGGCTCACGCTTTAATTAGGGAACACTTGTCCAGATGCCAGTGGCTCATGCTTTAATTAGGGAAACACTTGTCCAGATGCCAGTGGCTCATGCTTTAATTAGGGAACACTTGTCCAGATGCCAGTGGCTCTTGCTTTAATTAGGGAACACTTGTCCAGATGCCAGTGGCTCTTGCTTTAATTAGGGAACACTTGTCCAGATGCCAGTGGCTCTTGCTTTAATTAGGGCACACTTGTCCAGATGCCAGTGGCTCTTGCTTTAATTAGGGAACACTTGTCCAGATGCCAGTGGCTCTTGCTTTAATTAGGGAACACTTGTCCAGATGCCAGTGGCTCATGCTTTAATTAGGGAACACTTGTCCAGATGCCAGTGGCTTATGCTTTAATTAGGGAACACTTGTCCAGATGCCAGTGGCTCTTGCTTTAATTAGGGAACACTTGTCCAGATGCCAGTGGCTCTTGCTTTAATTAGGGAACACTTGTCCAGATGCCAGTGGCTCTTGCTTTAATTAGGGAACACTTGTCCAGATGCCAGTGGCTCTTGCTTTAATTAGGGAACACTTGTCCAGATGCCAGTGGCTCTTGCTTTAATTAGGGAACACTTGTCCAGATGCCAGTGGCTCATGCTTTAATTAGGGAACACTTGTCCAGATGCCAGTGGCTCATGCTTTCATTAGGGAACACTTGTCCAGATGCCAGTGGCTCTTGCTTTAATTAGGGAACACTTGTCCAGATGCCAGTGGCTCTTGCTTTAATTAGGGAACACTTGTCCAGATGCCAGTGGCTCATGCTTTAATTAGGGACAACTTGTCCAGATGCCAGTGGCTCTTGCTTTAATTAGGGAACACTTGTCCAGATGCCAGTGGCTCATGCTTTAATTAGGGAACACTTGTCCAGATGCCAGTGGCTCATGCTTTAATTAGGGAACACTTGTCCAGATGCCAGTGGCTCATGCTTTCATTAGGGAACACTTGTCCAGATGCCAGTGGCTCATGCTTTAATTAGGGAACACTTGTCCAGATGCCAGTGGCTCTTGCTTTAATTAGGGAACACTTGTCCAGATGCCAGTGGCTCTTGCTTTAATTAGGGAACGCTTGTCCAGATGCCAGTGGCTCATGCTTTCATCAGGGAACACTTGTCCAGATGCCAGTGGCTCTTGCTTTAATTAGGGAACACTTGTCCAGATGCCAGTGGCTCATGCTTTAATTAGGGAACACTTGTCCAGATGCCAGTGGCTCATGCTTTCATTAGGGAACACTTGTCCAGATGCCAGTGGCTCATGCTTTCATTAGGGAACACTTGTCCAGATGCCAGTGGCTCATGCTTTCATTAGGGAACACTTGTCCAGATGCCAGTGGCTCACGCTTTAATTAGGGAACACTTGTCCAGATGCCAGTGACTCATGCTTTCATTAGGGAACACTTGTCCAGATGCCAGTGGCTCTTGCTTTAATTAGGGAACACTTGTCCAGATGCCAGTGGCTCTTGCTTTAATTAGGGAACACTTGTCCAGATGCCAGTGGCTCATGCTTTCATTAGGGAACACTTGTCCAGATGCCAGTGGCTCACGCTTTAATTAGGGAACACTTGTCCAGATGCCAGTGGCTCACGCTTTAATTAGGGACAACTTGTCCAGATGCCAGTGGCTCATGCTTTAATTAGGGAACACTTGTCCAGATGCCAGTGGCTCATGCTTTAATTAGGGAACACTTGTCCAGATGCCAGTGGCTCACGCTTTAATTAGGGAACACTTGTCCAGATGCCAGTGGCTCATGCTTTAATTAGGGACAACTTGTCCAGATGCCAGTGGCTCTTGCTTTAATTAGGGAACACTTGTCCAGATGCCAGTGGCTCATGCTTTAATTAGGGACAACTTGTCCAGATGCCAGTGGCTCTTGCTTTAATTAGGGAACACTTGTCCAGATGCCAGTGGCTCTTGCTAATCCCACCATAGGCTTTGACTTGTATACCTCCCTATAACACACAATATAACACTCTCCGGAGAGACAGAACGGTTCAAGTGCTTACAAACAGAAATTGTTTATTAATGTTCATTCATTCAGAGTTCATTTTAAACACAAATTTTAATTTTGAGATATCAGTCAGTTTACAAAGAGAACTTTACTTTCAAGAATGTCAGTTGCTATTTACAAAAAGAAATCTTACTTTTTAGAATGTCAGTCAGTTTCTAAATAGAAATCTTACTTTTAAGAATGTTAGTCACTGTTTGCAAACATAAATCTTACTTTTGAGAATTTTAGTCATTGTTTGCAAACAGAAATCTTACTTTTGAGTGTTAGTCACTGTTTGCAAACATAAATCTTACTTTTGAGAATGAGTCACAATTTACAAATAGAACTCTTACTTTTGAGAATGTTCAGGGCATCTTCAGCAGCCTTGGAAGGAATAGACCTGAGGATATCCTCTGCTGTACAGCCTGTCTGAGATTTGACTGTAATGTCGATGCCTAGAATCAAAGATATCAACTATCATAAGAATATCTGAAACTTCTGCTGTTTCTTCTTGTCTTCATTCAGTTACCTCAGAAATATGTAAAATTCTGCTTCTTCTTCTTGTCTTCCCAATGGAAGTGTTGGAGATTTGTGAAATGTCTGCTCCTTCTTCTTGTCTTCCCAGGGAAGTGTTGGAGATATGTGAAATGTCTGCTCCTTCTTCTTGTCTTCCCAGGGAAGTGTTGGAGATATGTGAAATGTCTGCTCCTTTTTCTTGTCTTCCCAGGGAAGTGTTGGAGATATGTGAAATGTCTGCTCCTTCATCTTGTCTTCCCAGGGAAGTGTTGGAGATATGTGAAATGTCTGCTCCTTTTTCTTGTCTTCCTAGGGAAGTGTTGGAGATATGTGAAATGTCTGCTCCTAAGGTACTTGTCTTCCCAGGGAAGTGTTGGGGATATGTGAAATGTCTGCTCCTTCTTCTTGTCTTCCCAGGGAAGTGTTGGGGATATGTGAAATGTCTGCTCCTTCTTCTTGTCTTCCCAGGGAAGTGTTGGAGATATGTGAAATGTCTGCTCCTTCTTCGTCTTCTTCCAGTTAACTCAGAAGTGTTGGGGATATGTGAAATGTCTGCTTTTTTCCCTTTCTCCAATTACCTTAGTGAACTGTTGGAAATATGTGCAATGTCTGCTTCTTTTCTTCCTTCAGTTTAATCATTGAAGCGTTGGAGATATGTGAAATGTCTGCTTCTTCTTCTTGTCTTCCCAGGGAAGTGTTGGAGATATGTGAAATGTCTGCTTCTTCTTCTTCTTGTCTTCCCAGGGAAGTGTTGGAGATATGTTAAATGTCTACTCCTTCTTCTTGTCTTCCCAGGGAAGTGTTGGAGATTTGTGAAATGTCCGCTCCTTCTTCTTGTCTTCCCAGGGAAGTGTTGGGGATATGCGAAATGTCTGCTTTTCTGCTCCTTCTTCTTGTCTTCCCAGGGAAGTGTTGGAGATATGTTAAATGTCTGCTTCTTTTCTTCCTTCAGTTTAATTAGTGAAATGTTGGAGATATGTTAAATGTCTGCTTCTTTTCTTCCTTTAGTTTAATTAGTGAAATGTTGGAGATATGTTAAATGTCAGGGTCAGATCATCAACTTTCAAGACTGGGGTTACATTATTTTTCATTTAAGAACACAACTAGTGTCTGTGCCCAGGAAGCAAGATGAGAAGCTGGAGCTGTGTATTTTTTTACCACAGTAATACCCCTCCATGGCATGTTATCTCTAAATGTAGATTAATGACAGACATGCACTATACAGCAGATCACAGTCTACATCACTGACAGAATGTGTCCCTCAGCAGTCACAGAATGTGTAGATGTTTACATGGGATGTTTATTTAGATGTTTACAGATGGGAGTTAGTGACAATGTCTGTGTCTACATAGAATCAGAGATGGAGTGACAATGTCATGTCTGTATTTACACAGAATCAGAGAGAGTTAGTGAAAATGTCTGTGTCCAGATGGAATCATAGATGGAGTTAGTGACAATGTCTGTGTCTAGATGGATTGACAGTATTACCTAAAATGTAATTAGATGTAATCATAAACTAAACTACTGACGATACCTCTGTCTAGGAGTAATCTGATGACATCCAGTTTACAGAAGTTGGCAGCTTCATGCAAGGCTGTTCCTTTATCTGTCTGTGAGTGGCAGTGATTTAGTAGGTGTTAGTGGGACACAACCATTCCATTAGTTGGGATAATGTTACAAACATGTCTACAAATCAATGCAGTCACAGTTTCTGGGATAATGTTACAAACGTGCCTACAAATCAATGCAGTCACAGTTTCTGGGATAATACTACAGATAAACATTAACTTGTGCAGTCAAACTTTGAGAATAATACCTGACTATACAAAAATATTAGCTGTTTTAGTCAAAGTCTGAGAACAGTACTAAACTACAGATCAGTACACTGGTGCCGTCAAAATTTGGAGACAATAATGAACTATATGTCAATGTTAACTATTGTAGTCAATTTCTGTGAACCATCGTAAACTATATGTCAATGTTAACTGTTGCAGTCAATTTCTGTGAACAACAGTAAACTACATGTCAATGTTAACTGTTGCAGTCAAATTCTGTGAACAATAGTAAACTATATGTCAATGTTAACTGTTTCAGTGAGAATCTGAGGGAGAAGACTAATCTATACATCAATTTTAACTGTTGCAGACAAAGTCTGAGAATAATGCTAAACTATAGGTCAATTTTAACTAGGTCACTTTTAACTATTGCAGTCAAAATCTGGAGATAATACTTAATTATGTGTCAATGTTAACTGTTGCAGTCAAAATCTGTGGACAATACTAAACTTTATGTCAGTGTTAACTGTTGCGGTCAAAATCTGTAGGTAATACTAAACTATATGTCAATGTTAACTGTTGCAGTCAAAATCTGTAGACAATACTAAACTATATGTCAATGTTAACTGTTGCAGTCAAAATCTGTAGACAATACTAAACTATATGTCAATGTTAACTGTTGCAGTCAAAATCTGTAGACAATACTAAACTATATGTCAATGTTAACTGTTGCAGTCAAAATCTGTAGACAATACTAAACTATATGTCAATTTTAACTGTTGCAGTCAAAATCTGTAGACAATACTAAACTATTTGTCAATGTTAACTGTTGCAGTCAAAATCTGTAGACAATACTAAACTATATGTCAATTTTAACTGTTGCAGTCATAATCTGTAGACAATACTAAACTATATGTCAATGTTAACTGTTGCAGTCAAAATCTGTAGACAATACTAAACTATATGTCAATTTTAACTGTTGCAGTCAAAATCTGTAGACAATACTAAACTATATGTCAATGTTAACTGTTTTTGCAGTCAAAATCTGTAGACAATACTAAACTATATGTCAATTTTAACTGTTGCAGTCATAATCTGTAGACAATACTAAACTATATGTCAATGTTAAACTGTTGCAGTCAAAAATCTGTAGACAATACTAAACTATATGTCAATTTTAACTGTTGCAGTCAAAATCTGTAGACAATACTAAAACTATATGTCAATGTTAAACTGTTGCAGTCAAAATCTGTAGACAATACTAAACTATATGTCAATGTTAAACTGTTGCAGTCAAAATCTGTAGACAATACTAAACTATATGTCAATGTTAACTGTTGCAGTCAAAATCTGTAGACAATACTAAACTATATGTCAATGTTAACTGTTGCAGTCAAAATCTGTAGACAATACTAAACTATATGTCAATGTTAACTGTTGCAGTCAAAATCTGTAGACAATACTAAACTATATGTCAATGTTAACTGTTGCAGTCAAAATCTGTAGACAATACTAAACTATATGTCAATGTTAACTGTTGCAGTCAAAATCTGTAGACAATACTAAACTATATGTCAATGTTAACTGTTGCAGTCAAAATCTGTAGACAATACTAAACTATATGTCAATTCTCCATGCTTGAGGACCTTGATTTTGCAGATGATATAGCACTCCTATCACATAAACATGAACATATACAAGAAAAAGTAACAGACTACACAGCACAGCAGAAATCGTGGGACTGAGAGTAAATACAAAGAAAACTAAGATCATGACAAGCAGTCCAAACCAACAACCAGTGACCATAAATAACCAAACTCTTGATAATGTAGAACATTTCACATATCTTGGCAGTGTGGTGTCCCTGCCAGGAGGGACCGAAGAGGACACACAGTCACGTCTGAACAAAGCTAGAGCTGCTTTTGGAAGGATGAGGCAAATCTGAAAATCCAACAATTACCTCAGAGGAACGAAACTCCGACTCTACAAGAGCATCATTTTTCCAGTTCTTCTTTATGGAGCGGAATGCTGGAGAATGACCAAAAAGGATGCACACAAGCTGTCCACCTTCCACCACAATGTCTACGTAAAATTATCAAAATTTTCTGGCCAGATACAATCTCAAACACTAAACTACTTCAAGCCACAAACCAAGAAACTTTAGACAGTATGATAACCAAGAGAAGATGGAAATGGCTTGGCCACGTTATGAGAATGAATCCTGATATACCTGCCAAAACAGCTCTCACATGGACACCAGAGGGAAAGAAACAACAGGGGCGCCAAAAAACAACATGGAGACGAACGATGGAAAGTGACCTGAGTGCGGCATCTTTGACATGGAAAACTGCACTGAGGATTGCGCAGGACAGGAAAGCATGGAAAGTCCTCTCTGAAGCCTCATGTGCCACTAGGCATAACGAGAACTGATAATATGTCAATGTTAACTGTTACAGTCAAAATCTGTAGATAATACTAAACTGCAGGTAAATGTTAACTGTTAATTACACAAGTGCATGTAAACAAAATATTTAACTTTTATTATAAAAAGCTCACATAAAGTGCTTATGTCAAACTTAGCTGTTAATAACCACAATCAATCCACTACATTTGACAAATTGTTCTTCATGCAGCATACAATAATTATAATACAGGGCAAGATTTTTGCAACAACTGACTGCCTGTGGGGGAGGTTTGAGGTTTGAACAACGGATCAACATTATGGCACACGGGCAGTAACCCTTAAGTGCTCCGTTCTTCTTGTAACAAGTCTGAGTCCGAAGAAGCTCAGCACAGTGCACAGGCTCTGTAGCAACGGCGAGGATCCTGAAATACTTTGGGTAGATTTTTAACTGAAAATGTTTGCCCAGGCAGTGCTGTTAGGCTACTCTTTTTTATTTCCAATTGCTAAGGGATTTGTTACGTAAGCAACAATACACATGGGCGTCCGCTCTCACTAGCCAGAGACCAGGGGGATTACTAAAAGTCCAAGTCCAGGTGAGGGGAAAGGAATAGACCCACAGCTCCCTAACAACCATGTGGTAATTGTTGACTAATTAGGGGTGTTTGCTTCAAAGTCGGAGTGTGTCTGCCTAAGAGACGAGACATTAACAATCTGTGTACAAATCAGACAAATCTGTAGCATGGATAGGCATGCACAACATAAGTTCTGGAGCAAGACTAAAGACCAAAACTGATTGAACAACTAGGCGAAGAAAGAAGAGGAAAAAGAAGAAGCAGAACTTGCAAACTTCAAACTGTTCAAGTTTTTCCACATTCAAGACATGGAGTTAAACTAGATTAATTGTATCCTTCTCCTCCAATGATGATTCAATTGCCCACTGAATGCTGATTGGTCTATTCAAATATGAGACTAGTGTCATAAAAAACTGGGCTTGCCAATCAGAACTTCTTTATTCCTTCTCCACTTGGCTTGCAAATCTTAACTTCTTTATTACTTATCCATTTGATTGGAAATCTGAACTTCTTTATTCCCTTCTCCACTTGGCGTGCAAATCTTTACTTCTTTATTCCTTCTCCACTTGGCTTGCAAATCTTAACTTCTTTTTCCCTTCTCCACTTGATTGCAAATCTTAACTTCTTTATTCCTTCTCCACTTGGCTTGCAAATCTTAACTTCTTCATTTCTTCTGCACTCGGCTAGCCTTCGTGGCTTCTTGCTACAAACACAACCAATGCCAGAAAGGATTTTAAAAAAAACAGAAAAATGTCAATACCAAAGAAGATCTGATTTCAAAATGTCCTTTTATCTTCATTTTAATTTCTGCCATTTGTACACTTCTTAACATAAAAGTTTTCATTTAATATCTTATGCAACCCCATGTCAGTCACCGGGTGCCACCATGGTACTCATGAAAAACTCGTTAAAATAGATCCAAAAAGAATCACAAAGTAAATCACTTAGTAATGTATAAGTAAAATGTAAACTCAGTCTGTACATTAGATTTTGTTCCAGAGAATCTTTTGAAGCATCATAACAGAGCACCATTATTTGGTAAACTGACTTCCCAAAACAGTATCTTCACACAAAACTAAGTTTATATAACACTCGGTTTGCCTGTAATTTTGTAGATATGTTCCTAAACAATAAGGAGAATAGCACTAGAACTAACTGACACCGAAGAAAATTGCATTTTCACTTATATATATTCTATCTGTGCCAGGTGACTTTGCTATCGTTGTACCTTTGCGTGAGGAACACATAGGAAATTGGGCTCTATATAATTGACTGAAATAAGTCTACATCGCAACGTTATCTTTTTAGCTTCGGATAAATCTAATAAAGATGTGCTTTATTTAAATATGAGTCTTCCAAAGTCATAAATCCTGCTATCATGCATGTAGAATAATGCTCGGTGGCCATTTTCTTTTCAAACCTCACAAATATACAATATTTTCAGCTTTTATACAGTGTTTCCAAATTAGCACGCCTGATATCAGACACAAAGAACTCAAAAGAAAGTTGAAATTGAGCTGTCTGTGTTTTATTACAGGTCAGTGGTAAATTAAAAACCTTTACTTGTCACGGGTCGATTGGGCCGCTGGGTTGTAACCAATTAGCTCATGATGCGTTCCTTGGGACTCAAAGAGTTCAGAGTGAAAGATGAGAATATGTTATGCCATCACAGTCAACATCCCTGGAGACATTAAGCAGTCCCAGGCATGCAGCAAATATCTGAAGATATCTCCACTGACTGTCACCATGTACTTTAGTAGACTAAACTGTGTTTAGAAGAAAACAGATTTATATATGATTATGTATTTATTATCTAAATATATTTGAGGCGTAATGTTTCTTTTGATCTCAACATGTATAAGATAGTCATCATTTCATAAAACTGCCGTGAGAAGGGCACTTACTCTTGCATCGAGTGGGAACCCAGCATCCAGCAGGTACTGCACCACAGCACGATGCCCATTCCGTGAAGCAAGATGCAGTGGTGTGTTCACGGCTGATCGCTGTGTCAGAAGCTCGGGGTGAGATGTCACCAGCTGTTTGACAATGTCCAGCCTGTCATACTGAGCTGCCAGATCCAGCGGAGACAGATCCTCCAGGTTTCTGATGGTAGGATCTGCCTTCTTCTATACAAATAAATGAGCAATTATTTAGCAATCATCAGAACTGCTATTGTTCAAATGTCATAGACATTTTGTAACATGTTTTGTTAAGTGCTTTATGCATTCCTGTCTGCAACAGTATAATTGTTTATTGATGTTACAAGCTGATGAAGGCTATCTAGCAGCAACGTTCATTTTTTCATTACTTATTGTGAGATTCTTAAGCTCACTAAATCTACTTTTTGTCTTATACTCTGGCCCTTATTTAGTCACGGCGTCCGTGGCTAAGGCGTTGCGAGTCCGACTCGTAAGCCAGCATACCGCGATCGAAACCCACTGCAGGCTGCGTGGATTTTTATCGTGGTATGGGGCGTCGCAGGTCGACCCAGCCTAAAATGGGTACCAGGATGGGCTGTCCTGGGAAAGTAAAGACAGCCGGCGTAATGCTGACCACATTACCCACAGAGTGCTGATGGTCTGTAAAAATATGGGACGCTCTGCCCATATGCCCGATGCGCCGAAAGTCATGAAAAGGGAACTTTACTTTTTTTTTACTTTTACTTATTTAGTCTTTCCTCTTCAAACCTGTCGTGAGTGGATTTATGATCTTGTTTAGTCTTTCCTCTTTAAACCTGTCATGTAGTGGATTTATGATCTTGTTTAGTCTTTCCTCTTCTATCCTGTCGTGTAGTGGATTTATGATCTTGTTTAGTCTTTCCTCTTCTATCCTGCCGTGTAGTGGATTTATGATCTTGTTTAGTCTTTCCTCTTCTATCCTGTCGTGTAGTGGATTTATGATCTTGTTTAGTCTTTCCTCTCCTATCCTGTCGTGTAGTGGATTTATGATCTTGTTTAGTCTTTCTTCTTCTATCCTGTCATGTAGTGGATTTATGATCTTGTTTAGTCTTTCTTCTTCTATCCTGTCGTGTAGTGGATTTATGATCTTGTTTAGTCTTTCCTCTTCTATCCTGTCGTGTAGTGGATTTATGATCTTGTTTAGTCTTTCTTCTTCTATCCTGTCATGAGTGGATTTATGATCTTGTTTAGTCTTTCCTCTTCTATCCTGTCATGTAGTGGATTTATGATCTTGTTTAGTCTTTCCTCTCTTACCCTGTCATGTAGTGGATTTATGATCTTGTTTAGTCTTTCCTCTTCTACCCTGTCGTGTAGTGGATTTATGATCTTGTTTAGTCTTTCCTCTTCTATCCTGGATTGTAAAAGTATTTTATTTATTCTTGTTTTAATTTGGTGTAATTCGTCCTCATCCCCGTGTTGCAGGACACATGCAGAAGGTTGTTCTCATTATAGCCAGCTGTCAACAACTTTTCTCATGCAATATCGAGCCTAAGACTTTATTGATGTCCATCATCCCTGCCTCCACTTTCCAATAACGAGAGGTCATTATCTTCCAAACTAAAACTCCAGGTAATAATTTTCCAAACTAAACTTATCAACTTTGCTACAAAGATTCTGTCTCTCTTATCAAGACATGACAAGCTCTTCTTTAGATAATTCATTAACATGACAGTTGGTTCCTGCAAGAAGCACTCACCTGTAACAACAGACAGAGTGTGCTGTCATGTCCGTGTTGAGCAGAGAAGTGGAGAGCCGTGTTCCCATCTCGAGTCTGCAACAGCAAATGGACCACAATAAATGTAAATCTTGATCCTACATAAATTTACAGAATTTCATTATCTACCCTAGGCTATTTCCTGAGGTGCTGTTGTTACTTCTTCTATCAATGTCTGTAAATGAGCTTTATAACCTTCTTTAGTCTTTCCTAATCTACCATAGGCTAGTCTTGTTTAGTATGTCCTATTCTACCCTGGGTTATTCAGATATCTTTGGTAATCAGCCTCCAACTTCATAGCAAATGGGTCATCAAATAGTTGCAACATTCCTAAGCCAACGAAAACCACAGAGACTGTCCAACAATGCTGCTTGTGGAAAAACTGTCACAGACTGAAGCCTCAGCATAGCCAACATGCATTCAATGCAAGGACTCTATCAGAAGTTGCCACTTCCATGCAGATTTGAACCCTAGACTTTCATGCTGACAGATGTGCATCTAAACTACCACAGCTCCCTCTTTCTATACATGCATGCTTCATTCTAAACTCCATATTACCACTACCTAAGAGCTATTTACATTTTTGCTGCATGTGTTCTAGGGTCCCATTTTTGGAGGAAAAACTCCCTCGAAGTCAGAGTACATCTGCCCGTGAGGCAGGGAACGGCAAAAGCCAGTAAAACAGTTGTACACGCAAAACTCAGGTCCAGGTAAAAGCCAATAGTTCAAACGGACGATTAATCGGGACCTTCTGCAGCCGGTGAATGAAGAAGAAGAAGAAGGAGAAGGAGGATAAACGAATACACCCACTGCCTCCCTAACTATTTGTCCTACTAGGTGACTAATTAGGACTTTTTCCTCAAAAGACCCAGTGCATTTGCCTGAGTGGTCAGGAACCAACAGTCTGCACACAAGTAGGCCAAATCTGTAAAAGGATATGCATACAAAATTCAAGTTCTGGAACATGACTAAAGTCCAGAAGTGGATATACAACCAGAACTTATTTGAAAACACAGAGCGAGATAGCTGGACACATGTGTCAGTTTCTCATGTCTCCTCACCTGCAGGTTGACATGCACAGATTCTCATGTCTACTCACCTGGAGGTTAACATGCGTCAGATTCTTATGTCTTCTCACCTGGAGGTTGACATGCGTCAGTTTCTCATGTCTACTCACCTGCAGGTTGACATGCGTCAGTTTCTCATGTCTCCTCACCTGCAGGTTGACATGCACAGATTCTCATGTCTTCTCACCTGGAGGTTGACATGCACAGATTCTCATGTCTACTCACCTGGAGGTTAACATGCGTCAGATTCTCATGTCTTCTCACCTGGAGGTTGACATGCGTCAGTTTCTCATGTCTACTCACCTGCAGGTTGACATGCGTCAGTTTCTCATGTCTCCTCACCTGCAGGTTGACATGCACAGATTCTCATGTCTACTCACCTGGAGGTTAACATGCGTCAGATTCTCATGTCTACTCACCTGGAGGTTGACATGCGTCAGATTCTCATGTCTACTCACCTGCAGGTTGACATGCACAGATTCTCATGTCTACTCACCTGCAGGTTGACATGCGTCAGATTCTCATGTCTACTCACCTGCAGGTTGACATGCACAGATTCTCATGTGTACTCACCTGCAGGTTGACAAATGCCTGGTCATCAGATGCTGTAATCAACTGTTTACAAATATCTGTGTGCCCATTCCAAGCAGCCAGGTGCAGGGGCGAGCAGTCCTGGCTGTCCAAGATGGTTGGTGATGCTTCACAATCCAGGAGAATGGAGACGATTTCTCTGTAACATAAGCAACACATGTCATGTGCGCAGGAGATAGAAATCAATAACATTGTGTGATTGAGATAGACAGCCCACTGTCCCCCCTAACAAGCATGTCGTAAGAGTCAACTAATCTGAGGTGTTTCTTTTAGAGTGCATCTACCTAAGAGGTGAGGAACCAACAGTCTGCATTTTTAAAAAGCCAGATATGTCAAATAGATGATCACGCAAAATTCAATTTGTGGAAAAAGACTGAAGTCCAGAAATGGACAAATAACCAAAATGTTCACTGGAGTTTACAGCTGGTAAATGTGAAGAAGAAAAGAATGAATTCAGAACAGTGGAGACTAAGATCTGTTGGGGGAGAGAAGTGCTGACGAGGTCTGGTAGGAGAGAGAAGTGCTGATGAGATCTGGTAGGAGAGAGAAGTGCTGATGAGATCTGGTAGGAGACAGAAGTGCTGACGAGATCTGTTGTGGGAGAGAAGTGCTGATGAGATCTGGTAGGAGAGAGAAGTGCTGATGAGATCTGGTAGGAGAGAGAAGTGCTGATGAGATCTGGTAGGAGAGAGAAGTGTTGATGAGATCTGGTAGGAGACAGAAGTGCTGATGAGATCTGGTAGGAGACAGAAGTGCTGATGAGATCTGGTAGGAGACAGAAGTGCTGATGAGATCTGTTGGGGGAGAGAAGTGCTGATGAGATCTGGTAGAGAGAGAAGTGCTGATGAGATCTGGTAGGAGAGGGAAGTGCTGATGAGATATGGTAGGAGACAGAAGTGCTGATGAGATCTGGCAGGAAATATAAAGGTGATGAACATGTGCCCAGCTTTGAAACTCATGAATGGACTAGAGAAACTAACACAAGCTGGTCAAAGATTCACAATCCTACATAAATATCACATCCTTTCTTCTTAAAGTCCATGCCGTGTGACAGTAGTCATGTCTATCCACAACCGTCTCGTGTACTTTCAATCAACTTCGACAGAGATGATCTTTCATGTCACAACGTCAAACTATCCAGCAAATTTTCTCTCTGTCTTCCTGTGCCTCTCCTTCCCTTCAACTTTCCTACTGTCACGATGTAATCCAGTTTTCTCCTTCTTATCACGTGACCAAAGAATGAAGATTGTCTCTTTCTGATGGCGACAACGAGTTAATCTTTGTGAGTCAGTTTCTTTCAAGAATCTTCATTACTCTTTTTTAACTGTCTAGGGTATTCTCATCATTCGTCTATAAAACCACATCTCCAAAGCATCCAATTATAAATTCTCTATCTTGTCTCAATTGACAAAGAATGATTTAATAAAATAATCTTCCTTGAGGTATGTAATTCTAGACATGAATAATAAAGCCATTTTATTTTTCTTGAAAGAGTTCACCGGTTCTTCATTCGTTTTCTTTTTCATCTCCAACATAGAATAAGGCCAGGCTGAACAAATAAAGAACTGACATCACATGAGACATTCCCATAAATGTTCCATCCCCCTCCTCAACAGACAATAAAGAGTTCCCTATCCTTATGTTGATAATAATTCACCCTCTGTTCCCTCCCAGCTGAATCATTCTCTCCAGATATGGATGCTTGCCTCTTCTACTGCACTGCTGACTTGATCCCAGCGAGCCTTTACTTTATCATAATCCAGCTCATGCCCACAAGGGTAGTAGCAGCCAGTCAATCGGCCTGCTCAATACCATGCACACCAAGACAAAGAGACTAATTCCTTGACAGCTTGACCAACTTGCATAATTAAAACAAGAATACAAACTGCAACTCTGGTAATTAAATGAGACAGGGAATTATCGACATGGAACATGATTATGAAGAAAAAAATGTTACAAATAAAAGCTCACTTGTGACCATTGAGAGCAGCCAAGTGCAGAGGTGTGTCTCCGCTAGCATCCACGCAGTTGATGTTTGCACTCTTCAAATTCCAAAAGCTGTGGATGAAATGGATGATCAAATATCAGTTTCAGTTCTTCTCACATAGAAGCCATGTGGTGTTTTGGTTAGCGACCTAGCCTACTGACAGAGTAATATGACACCCATGTGGTGTTGTGGTTAGTGGCCTAGCCTACTGACAGAGTAATATGACACCCATGTGTTGTGGTTAGTGACCTAGCCTACTGACACAGTGATATGACACCCATGTGGTGTTGGGGTTAGTGACCTAGCCTACTGACACAGTGATATGACACCCATGTGGTGTTGGGGTTAGTGACCTAGCCTCCTGACACAGTGATATGAGACCCATGTGGTGTTGGGGTTAGTGACCTAGCCTCCTGACACAGTGATATGACACCCATGCGGTGTTGGGGTTAGTGACCTAGCCTACTGACACAGTGATATGACACCCATGTGGGATTGTGATTAATGACCTAGCCTACTGACACAGTGATATGACACCCATATGGTGTTGTGGTTAGTGACCTAGCCTACTGACAGAGTAATATGACACCCATGTGGTGTTGTGGTTAGAGACCTAGCCTACATCTCTCATTGATTCTCAGTGTGATACAAACTACATCTCTCATTGATTCTCAGTGTGATACAAACTACATCTCTCATTGATTCTCAGTGTGATACAAACTACATCTCTCATTGATTCTCAGTGTGATACAAACTACATGTCTCATTGACTCTCAGTGTGATACAAACTACATGTCTCAATGACTCTCAGTGTGATACAAACTACATGTCTCAATGACTCTCAGTGTGATACAAACTACATGTCTCAATGACTCTCAGCGTGATACAAACTACATCTCTCAATGACTCTCAGTGTGATACAAACTACATCTCTCAATGACTCTCAGTGTGATACAAACTACATCTCTCATTGACTCTCAGTGTGATACAAACTACATCTCTCAATGACTCTCAGTGTGATACAAACTGTCTCAATGACTCTCAGTGTGATACAAACTACATCTCTCAATGACTCTCAGTGTGATACAAACTACATCTCTCAATGACTCTCAGTGTGATATAAACTACATGTCTCATTGACTCTCAGTGTGATACAAACTACATCTCTCAATGACTCTCAGTGTGATACAAACTACATGTCTCATTGACTCTCAGTGTGATACAAACTACATCTCTCAATGACTCTCAGTGTGATACAAACTACATGTCTCAATGACTCTCAGTGTGATACAAACTACATCTCTCAATGACTCTCAGTGTGATACAAACTACATCTCTCAATGACTCTCAGTGTGATACAAACTACATCTCTCATTGATTCTCAGTGTGATACAAACTACATCTCTCATTGATTCTCAGTGTGATACAAACTACATCTCTCATTGATTCTCAGTGTGATACAAACTACATCTCTCATTGACTCTCAGTGTGATACAAACTACATCTCTCATTGATTCTCAGTGTGATACAAAACTACATCTCTCATTGATTCTCAGTGTGATACAAACTACATGTCTCATTGACTCTCAGTGTGATACAAACTACATGTCTCAATGACTCTCAGTGTGATACAAACTACATGTCTCAATGACTCTCAGTGTGATACAATGATGTCTCAATGGTGTGTGATACAAACTACATCTCTCAATGACTCTCAGTGTGATACAAACTACATCTCTCATTGACTCTCAGTGTGATACAAACTACATCTCTCATTGACTCTCAGTGTGATACAAACTACATCTCTCATGACTCTCAGTGTGATACAAACTACATCTGACTCTCAGTGTGATACAAACTACATCTCTCATTGACTCTCAGTGTGATACAAACTACATCTCTCATTGACTCTCAGTGTGATACAAACTACATACATGACTCTCAGTGTGATACAAAATACATCTCAGACTGTGTGATACAAACTACATCTCTCAATGACTCTCAGTGTGATACAAACTACATCTCTCATTGCTCAGTGTGATACAAACTACATACAAACTCTCAATGACTCTCAGTGTGATACAAACTACATCTCTCAATGACTCTCAGTGTGATACAAACTACATCTCTCAATGACTCTCAGTGTGATACAAACTACATCTCTCATTGACTCTCAGTGTGATACAAACTACATCTCTCATTGACTCTCAGTGTGATACAAACTACATCTCTCATTGACTCTCAGTGTGATACAAACTACATCTCTCATTGACTCTCAGTGTGATACAAACTACATCTCTCAATGACTCTCAGTGTGATACAAACTACATCTCTCATTGACTCTCAGTGTGATACAAACTACATCTCTCATTGACTCTCAGTGTGATACAAACTACATCTCTCAATGACTCTCAGTGTGATACAAACTACATCTCTCAATGACTCTCAGTGTGATACAAACTACATCTCTCAATGACTCTCAGTGTGATACAAACTACATCTCTCATTGACTCTCAGTGTGATACAAACTACATCTCTCAATGACTCTCAGTGTGATACAAACTACATCTCTCAATGACTCTCAGTGTGATACAAACTACATCTCTCAGTTGATACAAACTCATCTCTCATTGATTCTCAGTGTGATACAAACTACATCTCTCATTGATTCTCAGTGTGATACAAACTACATCTCTCATTGATTCTCAGTGTGATACAAACTACATCTCTCATTGATTCTCAGTGTGATACAAACTACATCTCTCATTGACTCTCAGTGTGATACAAACTACATGTCTCAATGACTCTCAGTGTGATACAAACTACATGTCTCAATGACTCTCAGTGTGATACAAACTACATGTCTCAATGACTCTCAGTGTGATACAAACTACATGTCTCAATGACTCTCAGCGTGATACAAACTACATCTCTCAATGACTCTCAGTGTGATACAAACTACATCTCTCAATGACTCTCAGTGTGATACAAACTACATCTCTCAATGACTCTCAGTGTGATACAAACTACATCTCTCAATGACTCTCAGTGTGATACAAACTACATCTCTCATTGATTCTCAGTGTGATACAAACTACATCTCTCATTGATTCTCAGTGTGATACAAACTACATCTCTCATTGATTCTCAGTGTGATACAAACTACATCTCTCATTGATTCTCAGTGTGATACAAACTACATCTCTCATTGATTCTCAGTGTGATACAAACTACATGTCTCATTGACTCTCAGTGTGATACAAACTACATGTCTCAATGACTCTCAGTGTGATACAAACTACATGTTTCAATGACTCTCAGTGTGATACAAACTACATGTCTCAATGACTCTCAGTGTGATACAAACTACATGTCTCAATGACTCTCAGCGTGATACAAACTACATCTCTCAATGACTCTCAGTGTGATACAAACTACATCTCTCATTGACTCTCAGTGTGATACAAACTACATCTCTCATTGACTCTCAGTGTGATACAAACTACATCTCTCAATGACTCTCAGTGTGATACAAACTACATCTCTCATTGATTCTCAGTGTGATACAAACTACATCTCTCAATGACTCTCAGTGTGATACAAACTACATGTCTCATTGACTCTCAGTGTGATACAAACTACATCTCTCAATGACTCTCAGTGTGATACAAACTACATCTCTCAATGACTCTCAGTGTGATACAAACTACATGTCTCAATGACTCTCAGTGTGATACAAACTACATCTCTCATTGACTCTCAGTGTGATACAAACTACATCTCTCAATGACTCTCAGCGTGATACAAACTACATCTCTCAACGACTCTCAGTGTGATACAAACTACATGTCTCAATGACTCTCAGTGTGATACAAACTACATCTCTCAATGACTCTCAGAGTGATACAAACTACATCTCTCAATGACTCTCAGTGCGATACAAACTACATCTCTCAATGACTCTCAGTGTGATACAAACTACATGTTTCAATGACTCTCAGTGTGATACAAACTACATCTCTCAATGACTCTCAGTGTGATACAAACTACATCTCTCAATGACTCTCAGTGTGATACAAACTACATGTTTCAATGACTCTCAGTGTGATACAAACTACATCTCTCAATGACTCTCAGTGTGATACAAACTACATCTCTCAATGACTCTCAGTGTGATACAAACTGTCTCAATGACTCTCAGTGTGATACAAACTGTCTCAATGACTCTCAGTGTGATACAAACTACATGTCTCAATGACTCTCAGTGTGATACAAACTACATGTCTCAATGACTCTCAGTGTGATACAAACTACATGTCTCAATGACTCTCAGTGTGATACAAACTACATGTTTCAATGAGTCTCAGTGTGATACAAACTACATCTCTCAATGACTGTCAGTGTGATACAAACTACATCTCTCGATTCTTAGTGTGATACAAACTACATCTCTCAATGACTCTCAGTGTGATACAAACTACATCTCTCGATTCTTAGTGTGATACAAACTACATCTCTCAATGACTCTCAGTGTAATACAAACTACATCTCTCGATTCTTAGTGTGATACAAACTACATCTCTCAATGACTCTCAGTGTGATACAAACTACATGTCTCAATGACTCTCAGTGTGATACAAACTGTCTCAATGACTCTCAGTGTGATACAAACTGTCTCAATGACTCTCAGTGTGATACAAACTACATCTCTCAATGACTCTCAGTGTGATATAAACTACATCTCTCATTGACTCTAGGTGTGATACTCACTACACCTCTTAATGACTGTGATACAAGCTACAGCACTCACAGACTGCCGCTGTGGTCAAGAAAATATGGGACTAACACCACATTGATGACATGCACCTGGCATGACACACAATCTGGTCCTCCCTTCTAAAAATATTGCATTTATTAGACATAAAGAAATAAAATGTACCCACACCTTACTGCTCTACTCAACCTGTTGCATTCCAATCCTAAACTTAAGAACAACGCTGATTTCTGCTCAAATGTGTTACATACTTTAATTTTTTTTTTTTTAATTCAAGAGTAACTCTGTCTAAAGCTTGTTGGCAAATGGACATATGAGCCATATTTTTTTTTAATACGATTTAGCATTCAAAAAGTCGTACAGAAACAACAAAAGTATTTACAACCTCATTTTATTGGATTTGCTGAAGGTCAGAAAACCCACTGATCATTTTCTGACCTTTATATCTTTGTGTCTGCAAAAGGAGTTCTCTGATGCTGTCAACAAGTTTATGGTTTATACAATGGATCAACATCATGGCACAAGTTTAGTAGTAACCCATAACTACTCCATTCTACTTCTAAATCAAGCCTGTCTGAAGAATGTAATGCATTGCATGTACTTAGTAGCACCGGCAAAATAATTTTAGGCAGATTTTCAACTCCAAATTATGCCCGGGCAGCAACACTAGGTTATTTTTTTTTTATTTTCAACTGCCAAGGCATTTTTTTACGTGTGTAACAATTTACATGGGCGTCCAGTTATGCTACTCAGAGACCAGGGGAAATTACTAGAAGTCCAAGTAAAAAAAAAATCCCAGCCCTCACCGAGCATGAGCCCGAGAACTCCAGCACTCGAGGAGCAGGCCTTGCCTTGATACAGAAAATGACTGTCTGGGCAGCAACAATAGTTTTTTTACAGCATGTGCTAAAGCATTCACAATGTTATAATTTCTCTTCCAATTCTGCTGTTCACAATAATAGATGGGTAATTAAATTATGGTACTCAGAATAGCTCTTTCATGTGAAGAATCTCAACGCATTTCATGTACTTAGTAGCACCAGCAAAATACTTTTAGGCAGATTTGTAACTACAAATTATGCCCGGGCAGCAACATTAGGCTATTCTTTTTGATTTCCAATTGCCAAGGGATTTTTGTATGTGTACAACAATATACATGGGCGTCCAGTCTTACTACTCAGAGACCAGGGGAAATTACTAGAAGTCCAAGTAAAAAAAAAATTCCAGCCCTCACCGAGCATGAGCCCGAGAACTCCAGCACTCGAGGAGCAGGCCTTGCCTTGATACAGAAAATGACTGGGTAGCAACAATAATTTTGTTATAGCATGTGCTAAAGCATTCACAATATTATAATTCCTTTTCCAATTGTGCGGTTCATAATAATAGATGGATATTTAAATTATGGCACTCAAAATAGAAGCCCTTTCAAGATAATTCTAATTGCTCTGTCACAAACATCTTCATTCCATGGTTGAAGACAAATTCTTTCGGTCTTTACTTTGTCTTATATACCGACCGTGGTAAATAAGTAAGTTCACCTTCTTAATATCAATTTTATGGACATTTTTACAACCAGCAGTGCATGCTACCTGCTCATAAAGTTAAAAGAAATTGAAACCGGACAGAAAAACATGAGCCAGGAAAATAAACCTTTTAGAGAGCGTAGATAACGCCCCAACGGTGGACGCTCGAGAGCCTTTGTTTCTAGCACTCAGTCGCCCTTGCAGGTGTTTCTCTACGGCGGCCAAGTTTCCAGTCCGACATGCCTCCAACAATTCCTGATCCTTGCCCATGTTTTGTGGAGAACAGACTAGCTAGAGGTGTAGAAAAGCCACATATTTGAGCCCGGCCGTGGCGGTCCAGCCTTCGACAGCAGACATCACAGTTATTGTACTTCCTGATGTTTCACCGCTAGCGCCCCCTGTTGACCTCCGGCTGGCCAGGCTCCATTTCCTGTCCAAAAATTGTCCTCTTCAACACTTTTGAAAATTATCATATACTTTATGTTTTTCTGACCCTTTTCTACTCTTCTCTTCCCTATATTTCCTTGTATTTTTAAAACCATTTTTCTAGTTACTGTTCGAACATTTATGTACATCACATTCCGGACGTATCTTAAGCATTCAGTCAGTCTTAGGAGTTATAAAATAATATGAATAACTTCCGTTATATAGAAAGAAAACTTTTTTTTTTTTAAATTAAACAAGACATGCATGAATGAATCAAGAATTTCAGTCACTGCCCTCGAGGCATTCCCTCACAAGCTCCGTCTCATTCCTCGGTGGCCAACGAAGAGTAGACATGATAGCAGTACCAGTCGCAACCTGATTAAAAGTCTGCCTATGTTTTCCCTTCAGTGTTGAATAACTTCAAGAACCTCCTCTATTCACCCTTCCCCCCCCCCCACCCCCACCCCAACTTGTTGAATGATTCTTTCAGTTTATAGATTATTTGTTCACTGTCCATCTGATCCAAGTGAGCCTTAATAACGTCCGCTTTATCATAAATTAGCTCACCGCCAGGAAGAGCGGTGGCGGCCGGTTTATCAGACTGCTCATTACCGCACACACCCGAATAACAAGACATAACAATGGAAACCCAAACGGGCAGGGAGAGACCTAGAAGTATATTGTTTGGAGCAATCACAGGGAACCTAAGACTTCACAAAATCACAGCATAACAAGTAACCCAGCGTGCCCTAGCTTAGCTGCTTTCTATTTGTTAAACTCAACATTATGTAGCACACAGCAGATTTTGACAAAATTTAGAAGTATCGCATTCAAGCTCATTGTTCATTTCAAGACGATCTTTACTGCACGTTGAGCACACACATAAGCAGGGCATCTTTCTGGCGGTGCGTAACAGTACTTAGTATCGGCACCAGTTCTAGGCATCGTTTTCAGCGTTACTGTAAAAGACACTTCGCGATGAGTACCAACACTTTCTTAAGACACTTTTTCTGGTGAGAAGCGACACAGTTTTCCAGGGAAAACCCCTGCTCTCAGGTATTTTGATATTCTTCTATGCATATTCCTTAGTGTGTTTGCAGTGACCACTCCTGTTACTGTTTTAACCTTGTGTGTTCTAAATAAGATACATTGTTTATCATTAATTTCAATAACTAAGTAAAGTTGTCAGACAAATACGATGATTAGGGTACAGTGGGTTCCCTGCCTTCTTCAAGTGAAAGTGTACTTTTGGGAAATAATGTCAGGTCAGACAACAAAGAAACTTGTTACAGTACTTATCTGCACTGGGAAGAGAGAAGTGGTCGCTACAAGAAGTACAGAGTGTGGTAGTATTTCCGTGCAAGTGTTCTTACTTGTTTCGTGTGCGATGCGATGGTTTTGAATCTTTCACCTTTTCTGTTGTCTAGTTTGTCATCAGCTCTCCACTGCCTTCCCTATAAGTAACTCTCGTCTATGGCCATCAATGACAACTCAGCTATATAAATCTACTTTTAATGACAATATGTTAGGAAGATTATCTAAATATTCTTAGTACAATTTAAATCCGAATCATAACTTTAGAAGATGTAAACAAAGCAACACTTGAAAGGATAATAGAAATTTTAATAGAAATGTCATAACTGTCTTTAAAAAATTACATGATATACAAAATTTAAAAAAATATACCCTGATAAGTCAATGAATATTTTATATCCCAGTTATAACACTGAGTAGTATATTTTTGTAAAAAGTACTTCTATAGTCACAACTAAAAAGCGTGTATCTTAGGTATTTAGAGTTTACCCACCTTCATTGTTTACTGTGGTTTACGAGTTGCAAACGATGTTTGTATTTCCATGATACCGCCTCAAAATCATTCTCAAATCTAAAACCTGATCAGTCACAACTTTGACTTATGTTTCTTTACATATATAGGGCACCTATTCAACTATTTCATTGTTTATTCACATCTCCAGGGCACTTATTCAACTAATTCATTGTTTATTTCCATCTCCAGACCACCTATTCAACTATTTCATTGTTTATTCACATATCCAGGGCACCTATTCAACTATTTCATTGTTTATTCACATCTCCAGGGCACTTATTCAACTATTTCATTGTTTATTTCCATCTCCAGGGCACCTATTCAACTATTTCATTGTTTATTCACATCTCCAGGGCACCTATTCAACTATTTCAATAGGAATAAACTCACAGGGAGCAAGTACAGCAGGGATCTACCAGTCGTCAGTAGAAATTATCCTAGTCGACACGCGTTTCGGCCCACGATTCCTAGACGCATTCGGAGGTGGGCCCTCCTGAGTTCATGAAGCTCAGGGCTGGTTCCCTGCTGCACGAGATTACCGGATGGTGTTTTTCTTTCGGCCAGAGACAAGACGACTTGGTGGTTTCGCAGAAGGTACTGTGAGATAAGAAGTCGCCGCTGCAGCCTAATTAAAGCAGTCAGCGTGCCTGGACGACCGAGCGACAAGCTGACGATTGGTTTACCGGACACATGTTGGACTTTTATTAGCAGGTGGCAGAGGATCACTGGCAGACAATTCGGACACGATGGACTTTCAAGGGGTGAGAAACCCTTTTCCACTAGACACCCGGACCAGCTCACCGAGGCCCGTCCCCTACGTTGTTGCGTTGCGTCCAAAGCCAGCTAGAGGCCCTTTCGGCTACCTCTCCCATTTTTTTTTTGAGTGTTCGTTTCCGTTCATTACCGCGCAATCCTAGTTCTTTAACCACATTGTAGAGCGAAGTGGAAACGAGGCCTCTCGCTCCCACTTCGACGGCAAAGACCCGTACTGTGTTTATTCACATCTCCAGGGTATATATTCAACTATTTCATTGTTTATTCACATCTCCAGGATACCTATTCAACTATTTCATTGTTTATTCACATCTCCGGGGTACCTATTCAACTATTTCATTGTTTATTTACATCTTCAGGGCACCTATTCAACTATTTCATTGTTTATTTACATTTCCAGGGCACCTATTCAACTATTTCATTGTTTATTCACTCGCGGGATTTCTGTTTCATGATGCAATCGTAAAAGACAATAACAATTAGGATGTCATAAGACATTTCCGTTATTTGCTGGTTGCCTTGTATAAGTTTACAGATCAGTCGATAAGTGATGTGGTCGGTACCAAACTACGGTGATCAGTAGTTCATTCGCAACGGGAAAACATTAAATTTATTTCCAATATGCCGATGAGGTTCTCAGAGCGGTGTATGCAAGACTTAGATGCTGATTGCCTACCACCGTAAAACAAACATATTTTGATCAGTTAAACAAACTGCAATAGATCGAATGTTCAAAACTGTGAATATAGAAGATATGAACATAATGTTTTGGTGGATTTCAAAAAGGCATATGATAGTGTACACAGAAGCAGTCGCATTCCATCCTAATTGTTACCAATTTTCATTGTCGCAAAAAATGGTATCCTAATGAAACCAAAACATTCAAGAATGCTTGGATTGTTTCTGCCCTGTCCTGTAAAGGATAGGCAACTGTTAATAAACTAACTTCACGCATAATTGCTCTGTTCTAGCCACATGTTGTAAACATTAAAATAGCAGAAAAATATGTATCTTCAAAATGTCGAAGCACTGTGTAAATTAAAAATACGATATTGTATTCTGACCAGTTTAAGACCAGAATGAGAGATCACGAGGGCCTGGGCCATGTTCTAAGTGCAGTGGACAAAACGGCTAACATTTAATCAAGTTACAGGTGGTACCATCAGTATAGGAATTCTTCGTCGGCTGCTGGTGAATGGGAGGGTGCACGTACGTATGGGAATGTCCATACTGCAACGCCAGTTCTTGATTCATTTTTTCATTCATTCAGACCAGAATATCAATGTTACATTTCTTATTGTCTTATTTCAGATTCAAACAAGTTAGTCAAAGCGACTTCTCTATGATTAAAACACCATAAGTCGTATTTCTTGCTCATATTTCTGCCCCAATAAGTGCAAATCAATACCCACAGGGTTCAAAAATAAATTTCTTTTTAAAAATTGTATTTGAACATCGTAGACTTCCGAAAATATAGTCTTGTTCGTACGTCATTCCCCGTGTGGTTTCCATTTTGGGGGGTCTGTGGGTCAGAACAGACCTACTGCTTCCCTAACGAGCACGTTGTAAAACGCGACTAATTGGCTGTTTGCTGAAATCGATGTGTTAGACAAAGATATCGCAGCCTAGCTGTATACCACAACACAACTTTCCCGTAAGAGTGTATGCTGAAGTAGCAGTTTTGAAACTTCCCGAAAGGTCAAATGGCAAGTGGCAGCCAACTGCTGAATACAACGCGGCGTTTCATTGGTCAGATTGGACCAATGGGAGCGAGCGACAGGTGTGTCCACAAATAGTCTCACATTGTAAACAAGTGGCGGAGAAAGAAACCTCGGCCTCCAGCCTGGGCTGTCTCAGTTCTATCCGTGCATGTCGCCCTTAGCGGTCGCTTGCTGACGTTCACAGCATCGTTTTGTCTCAGTAAACAACATGGACTCTCTGGATGACTCCTCGCATGAAGTTACAGCTCGTACCAAGAGGTTGAAGCCTCTGACTGTGGTAAGTGAACCAACTGGTTGTGGGCTTATTGTTGAGATATTCTTCAATCAGTTCAATACTCACCTTGCTTGCTACAGTTGTTTTATTTTCTTGTTGACTTTATTTTCGTGGGCGTCAGGGATAAGATAAATCAGCTGGTTAATGAGTTTTCATTGGCGCTACTAGAATGGATTGGGTATCAGCCATGATTGAAATAAGACTAGTATCTTGTCAGATCGTCTCATAGATTGCAAAACCGTTGGTT